TGTATCTTAGAAATTATTTGTATTATTCATGTCTCAAGTAGCAAAAGGAAAGAAGGTACGGCTGTTTGAATCATTCATGACTAGCTGCTTACTAATAGCAGTGACAACAGTTTTCCTGTAATCATGATCATACTTCAAATTACTCTGTTTTGGAAACTAAAACGGTTGAGAGTTCCAAGAAATTTAAGACTTCAAATATTTTATTTCCATTCCTGTCACTCAAGTTTTTCAAGTGATGTAGGCTAAAGCAGGGGGAGGGGAGAATTCACAGATCAGAATAGGGCAAGGCCTTTGAGAGGGAGAGCTGGGAAAGAAAATGCTATTTCCATAATCACGATTTTACTACTAATTAGTAAGTTTGGGCGTCTAAACTGCTGATAGATCCAAGAATACCCTTCAAACATGAAACAATAACATCCTTTTCATACAATAGAGTTAGTATCACATAAATAAACAGTGTATGAAGAAACATATGCAATACGAGTGAAAGTGTTGTATTATATCCTGTAAACATGACCTACATATTTGTCTTTTGAGAGTCAAAATGGCATTAACTCATATAAACGTATACATGATTTGATCATTTTTCGGATGGAAATTTTTTTTTTCCCCCTCATTTGCATTTACTCTATCAATAACTCTGGTTGAAATGCCATTGAAGCATTTGACTGTAGTAAATCCTTTTCCCTTCTAGTTCAGGTGTGTTTGTCTCATCTCATCCATAGCACTAATTGTAGGTCGGGTGATACTAGAAAGGAACTTGCTGCTTTATAGGGCAAGGCCTTAGAGATGGGGAGGGGGAAGACAGGAGATATAGTGGAAATGATTGTGCACGATTTCTTAGGATACCTCTCATATCATACTCCCATCAGCATACAGACAGTTCCAGTGACTTTGGGAAATTTGGAGTTTCGGTTGTGACTTTATGACGTATTGTTCATGTTTAAACGTTATATTCAGAAAAGATAGGAACTTAAGGGAAATTTGTGTTGTTGTGATGACTCATGAGATTATTTTTATCTTCAGATTCAATATCCAAGTATCTCATTGTATTTTAAGTTCTCACTGTTCTTTCTATAAACCTTCCTCTGACTTTCTAATAAATATCTCCTTCTCTCACTTAAAAACCCACTCAACTCCAGTCATATGTGTTTGAGTTTAGGGTTAGGATTAGAAGTATTGGATCCAGGGTTGGGAGTATAATGGCTATAGTGTAGGATATTGTCTGCTGAGCGATTGTTGCTGTAACATATGTTGTGAAACTTGTATCCTCCTCATGGCACCTACGTAAGGTTGTAGAATGTGCATTTTCAGCATGATTACTAACCATCAATCCTTGTCTATGGATTGGAGTCACATTAACAACTTCCTGGCAGGTGTTGGAAGTTTACCAAAATAAAATCTTACATATTTAATCAAAATTTTGTTTTATATTGAAATAGTCGAATGAGCTTTAAGTGAAATCTATTTATTAACTTGTAGGATAATCCCCACTAGCGTAATAGTAGTAGTGAATGGATTTGAAACATATCTTTCAAAGAAGTCATGATTTATTAATTTTCTGTATATGATTTGTGGGAATTGTCAGTTTGGAGTGAATGTAAGGCGTATGTATCATAATAAATCATACGAGGAGAATAACAACTAGAGTATCTCTTGTATTCTAGGAGAGTACTATTAATAACTTTTTTAAATGTTTTGTACCAATTACGCCAAGATTGTACCAGCATCCCCCGCCCATGTGACGTACATAAGTCTACTAGCTTCAGAAGATTTGACCTTTTGCGAGGAAGGGTGTCTGTGATTGAAGGTTATGCTATAATCTTCTTAACTAACCCCAATGTGTAATTATTTATTCATTCTTTTAATTACTCTTCCTTCCATGTTCTCCCCTTGGAAATATCAAAATCATATTTTCTCTTACCCCTTACCAAAGGCATGCAGGCCATAGTTTTTGCCATGAGGCTTTGTGGCTTGCCTGAATACCAACTTCATATTTTCAAGACCTAATAACGATTTTTCACCGTAAATGTGTATTTTTTCATGACAGTATACTAGATATGCGATATCAAAACTAAAAGTAATTGTAGACCATCTCAGTACTCAAGTATTAGGTTCTGGATGCCTGAATATTCAATCATTTCAAAATTCTCAGGGAGGGCTGCAATCCTGCCTCTTACAATAAATACCTAATGAACAAGATCTACCTTAGGGTTTATGAAATGATAGATTATGTGATAATCTCTTCATATATGCAAATACTGCAATGTTGTCGATGTGCTCCAATTGACATTCTACTTCTTGACATCACTTATTTTACCCTTGTCAGCATATATGAAAATATGGATTTGATTGTGGCCGCTATTACGGGTTTATGATATTTACTTCCATTTCATGTTAGATTGCTGTTTGCCCGTTCTAGATGTTCACCGATAATTCTCATTGATTTATTTACTGCTGCGGTAGTAAACATTGAATTCCTTCCTCAAAAGTTCAATCAAGTTCAACAAGAGACAAGCAGCTCTCTTCATACCCAGCGTGTAGTCATGACCTTGTCACTCTAGTGGTAAACAAACTACATCAACTGCAACTAATTCTATCATGTGCTACTATAAAAATAGAAAGAAAAAAAAATCACAAATGTGAAAGAAGCTCATTTTTCATGACAAGAATAGCAAACATTCAGTGTTGTAATTCAATAATCTCACAGCATGAACTTTTGCAAATCTGGGCCACTTATGAAATTCGAGCAAGTACCTGGGTCAAAGTATTTGTGAAACAACATTACTTTAACATTCAAACAATAAACCTCACATATCAATCTTGGAGTTCGCAGAGACACCTGCTGACATTCATAGAACACATAGAATATAAACATTTCTTTAAAAAATATATATAATGGAGGTTTCACCCTCAAAGGGAGGAGGCTTGATGGTAGAGCAATGGTCTCATAACCAGGAAATCCTAGGTTCAAAACCAAGTAAAGGCATTAGTAACCTTTGGTAAGGCATTTATCCTTATTACCAAGACCCCCAGAGAGCTAGACTTAGAGCTTGTCCCTTTTTGTAGGTCATATTAAGACCAACACATTAATATTCATATTTGGACTGTGGACCAGCAAAAAAAATTGCAAATGCTGAAATAATCAAAGCTTTATGAACTTTATATGATTTCTAAAGGATGTGTTCTAGTTTGCAAATACTGAGGAGATTTTCTGAAGATTTATTCAACCGTACATATCATGTATTATACACAGCTTAAAGGGCATGTTATTAAATTTGGTGTATTATCACAAGCGAGGAAATATGATGAACATTGAAAACTACATGAATATTTTGTACATTCGTGTGGTTTACTTCCTTTTCAAATTATGATGGAAGCTCTTGACCATGACTTTTTTGTAGATATTTAGAATAGCTGCTTATGCAAGAGTACATATATGTGTCTCTTGTATGTATGTATGTATGTATGTATGTAGCCCTCTATATGATGTGCTAATTGCTTTGCCCTGATCCGCCAGAAAACAAGAGGGGTAATACTGAGGTGCTGATACCAGTCATGTTACCCCCTTCTTAATCAATTACCTCCTGAGCACTGCCCCTCCCATGTATTTACCCTGGTGTTAGTGGGCCCTTGTCCAAAATTGGTTAATAATTTTTGCTCAGCTTGGTACTTTTTCTCACAGGAAATCGATCATTGCTTGTTGGGATTATCTCTGCGACATCATCTACAAGGCTTGTGGATGTGAAAGAGAAAACCATAATTAGATTTACTGAAATAAGCAGCCTTTTTCAAACTTATACTGTGGAGCTATGATAACAATTCTGTAAGTAAGTCCAACACATGTACTTTTAATATTGAATGATTATCATATTTTCCCCATTGTTAAAGAACATAGACAGCTTTCAAGCACATGCCCATGGAAGCTTCCTCACATTATATTTTTACTTGAATTTTCCTTCACAGAACTAAATCACAATTGTCATGATTAACCAACAAGGACACATTCTTCAAAACTCTTATAAAGTTCAGAAGAGGGGATTATTTGTGCACTTTATTTTATGCAGGTCCTTATTTATGATATGACTAATCATATTTGAAGTGATGTTAACCTTTATATGGCCTGCTAAACACATATGAGAAGCGTATATCCATATACCCTTCTTCTGACCCCAGCCTGTACAAAGTATTAAGTAGGAAACAGTAAAGTATATTGTTGACACACCTATAATTATGTTCAAAATGGGGTATGATATGATGAATCATATAAACAGAACCACCCATTAAATCTAAAAAAGAAGCTACATTTATGTCTATTCGAACTGATGCACCTATCTTGTGTGAAACACTATTTGTATGTTCATCTAAGTCATATCATCATTATTTATATCGTCTGTTTGGAGTAAGAAGGGAATGAACTCTTTGTAAAACTATATTAGTTAACACCCTTCTGGCTCCATTAGTATATGTAATAAAATATAAACCAGAACGTTAAACTAACATCTAATTGACATAGGGATGAACTTTGCATAGTACAAAGATGAAAATAATTCCTCCTATTTACTAACATGGACATTTTTGTTGTTTTGGTGGATGCCTTATACAAGTGTATATACTTGGATTTAGTTATAAATCTAAATAGATTACTGTTTTATAGATGAATATCATTCTGTGATAGAAACAAAGAATTTATTCTGAGCACCGGTATTCAAAATAGTTTGTCACTTGGTATTTAAACATATGCTACTTCTGCAAAGTTTATTTGTATTTGCTTTAGAATGGTCTCAAAGAGATATGGAACAAGACCATGAATACTTCTATAATTTAGTTTAAACTGATGTGAGGCCTAAATCATATTTAACAAAGGTAAATTTGTAATTCTTGATCCAGCTTCTATTATCAATCTTGACTTCAGATTGAGCTTAAACCGAGCAGCAGGTTGAGATCTTAGTAGAATATGGAACAAATAGTTTTGTGACTTAAATTTAAAGCTGACTTACTTACCAAAACTGGATCTGCAGAACTGTTGCTGTGGATGTTCTGGCATGCACATACATTGTGCCGTTCCTTTGACATCATCACAGAGCGCAAACACCAGAAACCACAAAAACATAAGTGACCGTGCCATCAGTCTACTTAAATCCCTCATCAATTCCATCCCGAGACTCCACAACGCTCCTCAAAAGTTATATCCCCTTTCTGCCCCTGACACCAAAACTATTCAAGTAGTTGCTTCACAGTGAATTAACTGGGATTAATTCCCTAATCCTATGTCCAATAAGATCTCTTATGATGGTCAGCTGTTTAGATAATCCGCTTTGGAATATTTTCGGTAGATGCGTAGTTTAGATCCGAATGGAGTCTGGATCAATGATGATGCAGAAGGAGAAGTAGGAAGAGAGAAACTTGGAGTTGTGCTTGCTGCGAGGCAGGCTTGTGTTTACTACGATCGACTACGTCAAGTTGGCAAGACTTATTGCCAATGAGTGAAGAACATCGGTAAAGCCCCCTTTGTATTTATATGGACTTCCCCTACAGGAAATACTCCAGTGGTGTGTGCTCCCCCTGGAAATACAGGATATGTCTACTTCAAAACTCTTTGTACGCTGATACCAATTATGTCCTGTACCCCCTCCCCCCCCCCCCCCCTTTCCCCCTCTCTCTCTGTCTCTCTCTCTCTCTCTCTCTCTCTCTCTCTCTCTCTCTCTCTCTCTCTCTCTCTCTCTCTCTCTCTCTCTCTCTCTTTGTCACATACACACATATCTCCCCACCTTCCTCTTTCTCTCTCATTTCTGTATGTTCTGTTTTTAATAATTTGAGATCTATCCCAATCTTTCTCCCATCCCATCTTTCTTCCCTCTTTCTCTCCTTCTAAGTCTTTCTCTATTCATTTTTCTCTCTTAATTTTCAATGCTTATGATATTTCTTTATATGAATCATTATACCAAAATGACAAAATTATAATAATATTAATAATAATAATAATAAAGTGGTGCTTGAACATTTGATTTTAAGATATTGCATTTGCATTTGAAATGCTTCAAAACCAAGATAGTCTCATGCTGCCAATAATTATCAGAATTAATCAGACTGTTGAAAATACATGTCTGGCATTTGGTGATGATCAACGATATCTAAATAGCTTTTAAGGTAACGTTTTAACTGATTTATTTTATTTGTAAATATATTTCTTTACAACTGCAGTTTAAAATTTGTTTCTTTCTAACTCTTTATCACTTGCTCTTTTTATACATTTTGTGCAAAACTTTGCAAACATCTTTTATCTCTCCAAAACTTTGAATTCAAATAAAGGAAGTAATGTAATTCAATATTTGACATTTTATGAAATGTTTCCTTTTCACTTCCTGCCTCATTTCCTCTGCATTTGTTTGTATTAAAAAGTATTTTGAGCTATATTTAGATCACTCCATGTGCCCCCTTGACTACGTCACATAAAATTTAGATGCACCCCTGGTGGACTGGTAGAGACTCCCTAACAGGAAGTTATTAAGGTGCCATTCAGAGATTACTATCAACGGATCCCAGATTTTGGGGTCAAAATCATTTGATATCAAAGTGGTCATTACTTTATGAACCCTTGCCCTTCTATGTTAATGCTTGTCTCTTTCTCTGCCTCTCTCTCTCCCTCTCTCTCTCTCTCTCTCTCTTTCTTCCTCCTTCTATTTCTCTACCTCCTCCCTCCCCTCCCCTAGCTCCTCCCTCCCTTCAGCCTCCTTCCCTTTGCCTCTCTTTATTTGTATACCTTCCAAGTGTGTTCTTGTTCATATATCTCTCCCTTCCCCCTCCCCTATATAATTTTCTTTACCTCTTTCTTTCTTTCTTCCCCTCTCTCTCTCTCTCTCTCTCTGTCTTTCTATCTCTCACTCTCACTCTCACTCTTTCTTTGTATCATTACTGGTATCTGTCTTTCCCTTCCTGACCTGTCTATATTTATCTCTTTTCCATTCTCCCTCTTTCTCTATACCACCAATCTGTGCGTTTTTCTTCTCTCCTTTTCTCTCCTTTTCTCCTTCACCACCATCCTCTGTCATCATAGCTGTTTGTGTTATATTAGCAGTATTGCTAGGCTGATTTGACTTGTAAGGATTTCATGACATATATTAGACTCTATAGATATTTTCTTTAACATTTACCTGTGTTTACAACAATGGCCCAAAAATAGATATTTACTGAAAGCTAAACACCTGTTTTTTACCAATGGTTGCTCTTTATAAGTGATTGAAGGCTACTTAGAATAGAAGACATGTGTTCTTGGTTAAAATATCACACTTATGCAGTATTGAGATCACCTCCCCCATGCTGTCTCTCAAAGCCAAACACAATGGGAGAGCTGGAAGGAAGTACCACATTCATTCTGTATGTTGAGAAACAGGCACCAAGCAGGCAGAACAAGTATACATACAAACATTATTTTTCATATCCTGTTTTTCTTTAAATCTTGTTCATCTTGCAAGAAATCATGTAAAACATGACCACACACTCTGAGAATCCAATGGCTTTTATTGGTAAATCAATAATGATCAATCAAAATCGATTTTAGCAACTGTCCACCAAAAAAAAGTATATTCCAATCTCATTGCATTATCTCCTTTCTTCTCTCTCTCTCTCTCTCTCTCTCTCTCTCTCTGCCTCTCTCTGTCTCTGTGTGTGTCTCTCTCTCACTTTGTTAACAGTTAGACTTTAGATTTTTATTAATTAATGTTAATTATGATACATGTAGTAGCCACAGTTATACTGTATATACTAGTGCTTATATCCATCCTAGGGATGATCAAGGCACCTGCAAAGTATTGCTTTTACACTGGCTTTAGCCAAGCTGCCCTGCAGCGCTGAAAGTAACCAGGAATCAAGATGATTGTTATGCCTTTAAAACAAAAACGAATATATTTTGGTTAGCGATAAACAGAGTAGCAAGACTAAAATAAAAGACGCACAATTAAAGAGGATAGGTACAACAATTGTATTCCCCAAAGTTTGGAATTTATATCAATCATATGATACTATCATCCCGATTTAAAAAAAAAATTTAATAACAGCTACTCTAAAAAAAAGATACTTTATCAAAAAGGTGTCACTTTCTTGGCTGCCATGCCAAGCGCCAGGTGTATGTAAGGTAAATGGAAGAGCCTTGATAACAAGAAAGTGACTCATCTACGATACAATACGCATCTTCAGCCACGCTCTACCCAGCAAAACATTCCCGCCAATACTCGCAAGTATTAACGACCACCCTGGATATATTCATTAGCTTATCTGCTACCAAACTGTTTCAAGTTGTATTACTATCGTAGTACGGGTAATGTTTTTTGCAGGGGTAGGGGTTCACATTTGGTATCCAATTTTGAAAGGATATTGTGCAGTTTTATTTTGTTGAAAAGCATGAGAAATGTAGTTTTCTGTGACATGTGCCTTTCTATTAACAAAAAAGGATTTTTCTTTACCTTCTATAGCAAAATGAGACTTTTGTTTGAAGTAAAAAAAGACAATCAAGTAGTTCGGGAGCCACTTTTATGGCCAAAACTAACCTGCTGCTAATCTCTGAGACTGGAGATTTTTTTATATGCACATGGAATAGACTTCTATTGTATCCAACTTGCCAATTCATACCCTTAATAAAACATCCCTACTGGAGAGTCAATCATTCTAAAGTTCTCCAGATACCTGCAATGACACTGTGAGCTGTGAACAACTATGTTTTAGACTGCTCCATTATGGTAAACAAGGGGTTCTGAAGCTCCAGGAACTAGGAGGGAACTTTCATTAATGCATATTGTTTTCTGCAGCCTGCAAATGGTTCAGTAGCTAACATACAAAAGTGTAAGAAAATATTCTTTTATAATCATATAAAGGGTTTAGATATTGTGAAAGTGATTGAACACATAGTTTGTAGCAATGTGCAGTTTAGAAACAATTGATATTGATTTGGAAGGAAAGTGACCCAAGCAAAGTTAGTCACAAGATTTTGTTTCTCTTAACATGAACATCAGCCAATCACAACAGTAATCCAATATGTTTAGTTACATTGGAAGGGTTTATTTATCCAACCATTGCTTTTTTCAATAAAAACTGGGAAGTTTGTTTACTCTTTTCATTGAGGTTAAGTATGACCAGTAAGATCTAGGTGTAGTTCAACATTTGCTCTCTGTTTGAATCCTTTAGGTAGCTGATGATTCATGGCCTAAAGTGTAAGGAAGAGGGCTAGAAGTCAAAGTGATTTTCAATGACTCATGTTCATATTTACGTTTGAAGCAGCTGTCCCATAGGCTCATTAGTGTGAAATGGCCTCTGTGCGATAATTTGCAGTATTTTGTCATGTGCAATTTAGTACTACCAGGTGTTGATTTGCAATCATAGGCCAACAAGTCCCATCTCACAACCTTCCCTTCTACCACCTCCCCCCTATCACGTCCCTCCCCTCTCCCACCCATCTACTCTCCCACCTTTCCCTCTACTATTCATCCTCTCTTCTCTCACCCCTTCCATATCCCACCCTCTCCTCTCCATCCCCTTCCCTCTCACATCCCTCCCCTCTCCTACCCTTCCAAATCCCATCCTCCCCTGTCCCTCCCCTTCCCTCTCCCCCTCTCACATTCATCCCCTCTACCCCCCCCCCCCCTCCCCTCTCCTACCCCTTCTATATCCCACACTCCCCTTTCCCACTCCTCCTCTCTCTTTTCTCTCCCCACGATCCTCTATCCCGCCCATCCCCTCTCCTCTCCTCTCCTCCCCCACCTCTCCCCTCTCCCACCCATCCCCTATCCTACTCTCCTCTCGTACCCATCCCCTTCCCCATCCAACCTTGCACCATAGCCCCCCCCCCCCCCCCCAGAAAGTCAGAAGTTGCTAAGCAACTAAAGGTAATAACAAGAAGATACCTTTGGAGTATTGCTTTTTTAAACGCTGGCAGAAATTTCAATGGTTTTTGCAGTGTAAATGCTCACTCTCAAAACAATGGTGAATGTTTATGGGTTTTGGTCTTGTGATTCCCCTCACTTTCGTGCGATCACATGCAAGCTGATCGCATGCAGAGCAGCGACAAATCGTGCATGCGCACTAGCCACCCCCAAATCACAATGAGCAAACAAAAATGTTTTTTAATGTTTTTTTTCTCCAGTAGTGTAAATTGGCATTAGGCCAAGATGATAACAAACCAGCAACTAAACACCAAAATACCCCTCATCAACCAATTGTTGGAAACAAACTTTTGTCCAATGATGTTTTCTCTGTAGAAAGGAAACTTTACAGAATACCCAGACAAAGGCATTGGTTTTATCCATCTCTCATTGCCCCATTATAATTGGATGTGACAAAGAAACAGCATATGTGACGAACCTGTCTGCCATGAGTATAATTTAAAAACAATGATGACATTTCTCTTGAAAATAATACATTTTTTGTCATTCTTTCACAGAAAGAGTTAAATTATTAAATGCTTCACATCCTAAGTAAACTTTCAGACTTTTACTGAACTTTATTTTTGTGTGTGTTTTCAAATTTTCTAACTCACAAATTACTTACCACAATGACACAACGTCAAAAGCTTTGACTCAAGTTCCAGTGGAATGTTATTAGCAGATCGATTCTTAGAAATTCAGCATTTTGGCTTTTGATGAAATTAACTAAAGCAAAGAAGAGACTAATGATCAGGTTTCCTCATGATGACTACTAAGTCTCGATTTTGTTTCAATCGAGGCATTTGGCTCGGTTTTCTTTATCAATTTATTTGATGCCAGCACCCGTGGGGCCTAGATTACAAACAAAAGGGCGCTGAGGGGTGCCTACCACCCCCTCCTTGTTTTGATGCCGTTTATCATCACCTTGATCATGAGCAAAAATCAGAATACATGACCAGCGCTTGCCAGCCCTCTTTATGCGCTTTATTAGACTTAATTAGCTCACGTAGTTCATTTCTGACAGGTACTACGTGAGGAGGGATGAACGCGAATCGATCTCCTCTAGCCAGTGTTGTTTGGAGAATTAAACCAACCACCTGTTTACATGAAAAAGATGATTATTATCAGAATGAGATTACATACCATATTCTTAAAAGACTAAATCCTGCTTCAGAGTGCTGGTTTCACTGTTGAAAGCTGTATTTTCCAGCTTTTTCCCTTTGATCTTCCCAACATAATCATCAGAGGAAATATAGAAGTCATATGAAGACTGATGCTTTAAAACAGTGTATAAAAGAAAATACATTGATTAAGATATTCAAATCATTGTACAACAAAGTACACAATTTCTAAGGAATTCTTTAGCAACCCTAATTATGCCATGTTACAAGTAAAACTTTAACAATTTCTAAGGAATTTTTTGAAAAACATGGAGAAAGGTTGAGACTTCAAAGATTTCTGTTATGTTCTTGTATTCAAAGTTCGTCAAGAACTATCGAATACAGTTTCTCACTCCTAGCCCTGTTCACCCATTAACCTAGTGAATGCTCTCATTCCTATATGCATTCTACACGCTTCTTTGGTTTTAAATCCCTAACAGCATGCATACGCTGGTTACTCATCTCATCACCAGTGAGTTAACTCCTTCACATTTGACAAAATAAAATGAATTTAAATCTCTGGTGTGAAGAGAATGATTTTACAAGGTTTTGGTCTTGAGCCAAGAGGACTCGTAGTAAAGCATTGGACAGGGAGGGAAATTGGCTAATTCCTGCAAACTTGAGTTTGGTGGACCTGAGGGAGATCTGTCAAGGGTAGACCAGATATATTTATTGTTGGATCGTATGCCTCCTAATAAAAAGAGACAATGAATTGTAATGGAATGCCTTGCGGAGCGCTTGTTTCTCAAATGTGCGAGACATGTTCGGCTGAAATTGTTCTGTCATATCCAAGGTCCTTTTTTATGAGAAGAAGGGATCATCTTCATGTGTCAAATTGGAATTATCATCTGTATATTAGATTTTAGAAATTCACTGAGAGTTAGAAGGGAATTAACTGTATTTTGAAGAATATGAGATTGTGTCCCTTCAGCTCTTACGTGAAGATAAATCTTGGATGAAAGGGTGGGATAAAAATCTTTTTCACTCTTGTTCTCTTTTTTTCTTCTCAATCTCTACTCATTGAATGTGAATCATAGAATGTTAAAGAGGGAGCTCTCAATTTATAATTGTGCACATATCAATAATGTAGCTTAAGTATAATGTTATTGATGCATAAAGATGTGCATGGACCAGAAAGTGTATGGTTGCTGAAGATGCTATTACATCTAAAGTGTAACCCGATGTGCAGTTTTGATATTGCTGAGCCTAATCTAGCTGTTAATCCTAATAGTAATAATGCACTCTTTGCCTGTGTATGTTATTACCACTGCTTTAGCTCCGGCATCCACTACCAGTGAACAGTGTATTTTAAGGAATAAATACCAAGTGCCCAATTACTACACCTGTGTTGAGAGTGGAAAATTATGACTAATGTCTTGTTAAAGGCCAAAGGTGCCTTGCCAGGTATTGAACCCACAACCTTCACATCTTCAGTCAAGTATTTAAACTCCACTAGGACACATGTACTGCATCTAATTCCATTCATTTTTTCCTTTGATACCAGTTGAATATCAACTTACTCACATTGTATCATCAAGTTTGACAAAATAATAGAGTTGTACAATTCTAAAGGACAAAAGAAGATTATGTTACACTGTAAAGGATAATGGTAGGAGGGGTCTTGTTGTTGTGAGTGAGTCCGATCTGCCCCTCCTAACGAACCCCTTCCCCCTTCCCAGGAAATTCCAGGTGGGTAGATACGAGGTCCCTGACGAGATAACGACTACTGATGCTCATTTATACACGTGTAACCCGGCAGGGGTCTGTGCGTGCCTGCGTGGCAAAGTGTTCCATTTCTTTCTTTCTCTTTGGCTCCTTATTTTTGTTTCTTCGATATTTCTGTCTCAAGATTATTTTTACCAATTTGAATCTCTGTAGAATGAGCTGAGATTTTGTTGTGAACAAAACATGGTAAAATTGCATCTGCTTTAGTGGCCACCTCTCTAGTTTGTTTTTGTTTTTGTTGTTGCTCCCTTGGAAAGAATTTTTCATTAAAACCTGTACAAAAACAACCTGTGGGTAACACCACCTGCTAGTAAAGATCACACCTGTAGTTACCTTTGCATAGTCTTTATATTCAGGTTTCACTATGTGACATACATGCATGTATGTTAAACATGAGAAGAGTGACTCTTGCATAGAGATACAGTCAAGAAGATGGACTGGATATTATCAACTTTGCTAGTTTTGGGGATGAGTTCTTATCTTGTACAGTTCACTTTTTATTTCTTTGGTGATTGATTCCTTATACAGTTATCTAGTTTATACCTAGATGTTTATTTATAAAATGGGATTTATTAGTGTGATACTGTTTCTCCCTAGGCCTTCATGAGTTGTATTTTGTGTGAGTGAATATGATTTGAATCATATTTTACAGGCAAGGCAATTCATATTGATATTGATAAACTGAGTTGATATATCTAAAAATTCACCCTGTCAAACTGAAAGCATACCCTTTTTTTTTGCAAACTTAATAAATTAATATAAAGAAAATAATATGCAAAATAAGCTGATCTTAATTTTTGTTGTGTATGAGTGATGGTCTGATGTCTGTTCATGTGACTCTGATCAATCAAATACCATGTTAGTTCTACAAACACTGTATGATTTGTACGATATCTGTCATTGATTTCAAATTGAATACTTTGTTCTTTTCCTTCCTTTCATCTACATCTCTTTGTTCTGATAGACATTAAAATCGGGTCAATTCAGAGCACACGTTATGCAGGTGATAAGACGTTATTTTTGTATTATTTCTTTATCGCTTTATTTCATTTTTTTCATGGCTTATGTTGTATTCACTTGTGAATGTTTATTTTTTTCCATGTTTCTTTATTGTCCATCACTTGCATTTTGCATCTAGGCGATTGGATTTTACACGGGCATGGTAAATAATTTGACATTTCACTGGCACGGTGTTTTTTTGTTACCATCATCCTTACCCTTCCCTTCTTTTCATCAGCTAGTTACCCCCCCCCCCCCCCCCACATCCTATCATCAGCTAATTACCCCACCCCTTCTAATTATCATTATCAGTTCATATTCTTCATCATCACCTTTCATCAGTTCTGCAGTTGTTCAACTCAATATTGCCAATAATAGCAATATCGCTATCCGCAATCATTCATTTTGTTGAATTGTGCAATGTTTTAGATAGTCTTAGCTGGTCCAATGTTTGATGTATGATGTTAACATGAGAGTGATATTGTTGAATAAGTCTTGCTTGATGTTTCCCCAAATGGATTAGAGTGATTCGATGTATTTGTTCTTGAAGCAGTTAAAATAGTTGATGTTGATTAGTTGTTGGGATTAGTGGAGTTCTCTGCATTGTTTCATGAAACTGCCAAACTTTGCAGACATCCCTTTGGAATGTGTGGATTCAAATCAACACACATCTCATGGTTATTTTGGTGAACTTGTAATTGTCGTGGTTTTGTGAAATGATACCCTATAAAACATGTAACAAAATTGGTATTAAGTCCTGTGAAAAGTTAAGGTGAAGTTTGTAGAATAGGTACATTTTTTAGACTTCTCACAATCCTGAACAGTACTCATGAAATGTTTCTGCTTGTTTCATTCTCTCTTTCCTTATCCTTTTACTTCTTTCTCTTCTCCTTTTACTCCATAGAATATATTACAAAGATTGGAAGTATTTTCTTCAATCCATACCTTTTCCTCTTTTGATATATCATCTCCTGAAAGCTATAAGGATACCCTTTTTGCTCTGAACAGATGAAAGTTTCTATTGAGAGCCAGAAGGGTGTTGATAGTGTATAAAATATATGAGTTAATGACCTTTTGGGTCTCAGAAGATGATAATATGTTCATCCCATATTACAAATGATCATAGCATTATAGTGTTACAAGATTGATGATAGATCTTTCAACCTATAGATTTCTCCATCCATTGTATTTTTGCCTGTTCTTTCCTCCAAAACTTTTAAAAGCTGCATAAATTCATTCTCATCGTTATGAGATGAAATTAAAATAGGTAACCAAATGCATACTCCCCCCCCCCCCTCCCCCTTCGCCTTGTCTCACCCATTCTCTTGCAAGCTGTTATGGAAATGGTAAAACATATTGAAAGATAAAAACTGCATCAACATGTTCCTATCTCTGTATTGAACATGAATGAAGTTTTCGATCCATCCCAAAGATTTCCATCTTTATGTTCTTCTCAACCCCTGTATTTTATATTTCCTGATAGAAATGATTACCAATTTTAGATATCAGAACTGCATCATTGTATTTCTATCTGTGTATTTAGAGAGATGGAAGTAGTTTATCTAACCCATAGAATTTCACCACTGTAGTTTGTTGTCTCCCCAATCCCTCTCCTGGTTATCATTCTGTGAAAAATGTTGTTCAACATTGAGCTGTGTTTGTAGTGTTCCTCATGATGTTTGTTTAAGGTAATGTTATTGATTTGAGGCTAATAAAAAGAGTTAAAATAGGAAAGGTAAATATTATATTTATTTCATGTATTTTGTACAGATTATCATTACTAACGTTTTGTACACAGACTAAGCATTGAACAAATTATGAATATAAAGACAATTTGAGTTCCTATTTAAATCAATACCTCTACTTTTCAAACAATTAAAATTAATTAATGTTAACTAAAGCAAGATGATTGCGTTGTAGATGAAAGAACAGTGGTAAAACATTTTAAATGTTTGCATTATTGATGTAGTTTGTAGTTTGTGTTTGTAAAAGTGGAATCTCTGTAGAGTGATCTGTTCAGAGTCAGAAAGGCATGTGTTGAATGATACAAGCTGGCACTCTAAGATGGCTCTCAGTTTCTTACAGTTTGTCTTGCTTCAATGCTTATAAACTTTATAAACTTTACCCTAGCCACCAATGAACTTCCTATGAAGCAGGGGGTATACCAGGGCACTGTTTTATAAAACTTTCCATCAATAATAATGATGAAGATCAACAACAGTCTAATTTTCTAGGACTTATTTTGGGTGGTAAAAATTTGAATAACTTGGAAGCCAGGTTAGCATTAACTAGAAGTGTGAACACCATCATGTAAAATTACAAAAAAACTATTCACTTATCATATGTGCTGAGGAGCAAGTCACATATCACCTATTAAGATATCAATAAAACTGGTCTATGTAGACGAGGTATCATATCTTAGAATATCAGGACAGCCTCTGTAAAACTGGTTAGCAACATAGATATACAATGCTTTTTTTTCTACAAAGACCAATTTTATGGTTATCATTTTTCATTGGTGATATGTGACAGTCCTTAATGGTAAGTGGTTTTAAATGAAGTTGTTGTTGGAATGGAAAAGATGAGAGGTGTTAATTCACATACTTTCACACAAGTTAACGACATACATGGTTTCAGACATAATAGTTTGGCAATTGTGTGTGTGGTGATTGTGAAAACGTCCCAATCTTCAATTTGGTAGACTGAAGTAACACCCCTGTGTTTTCCTTCTCTTTTTCATTTTTTACGAGAAGATAAATTTGTCTACTGAGAGCCCTAAGTTCATTAAGTAATATGCTTTTGTATTGAACCAATTCCCCTTCTGGCTTACAACAGATTATTTTGCCTTTAAAATCTGTCTTAGAGTGTGTGGTATACACAATGTATTCACCTGTATATAGACATGCAATTGAAGCATCTTGAGAATTGTATGTTTCACCCTAACCACTATTTCTAATCTAAACATCCTTTTCTATTCATTAATTGCTCAATATATTTTGAGATAATCATTGTGATTTCATGGCTTTTCTCCCTTCTTCCTACCTTCTTTCTCTTCCCCTGTGCCAGTCTTATTCTTTATCCATTTTACATGCATCTATTTCTCTCCCTCCTTCCCCTCATTAACCTCTCTCAGTCTCACACTAATTGTTTTCTCTCCCCTCTCTGCCCCCCCCCCCCCCCCACTCTTCCTCTCCCTTTCTCTCTCTCTCTCTCTCTCTCTCTCTCTCTCTCTCTCTCTCTCTCTCTCCTCTCTACCTATCTGTATGCAATTCATACACAATGAACATGGATTAGATGTTGTTACCCTATGTAAAAAAAAATGTAATTATTATGTTTTTGTTTGTAATGTGAATTACGAAACAAAAGCATTCTTTCTTAACAAAAAATATACATATTGAAATTGAAACATTCATTAAGGAATTAATAGCTACAGTAACTGTGATTTGAACTCATTAGTATTACAGTGAGGAATGTACCATCAATTTTCTTTTACAAATCTTTTGATGACTTATGATTATTTCGAATGTCACCATTATCTTTCAAGGGATGTGAGGGTTTTTTATTTATTCTATTCAGATGAAACTTGTTGGATTCTATAACCCTTGTTTTCATTTAAGTGTAACCATTGTCTTTTTTCTGTATTTATTTTCAGCTTACTACCCCTCGGTTTCCTGTCGTCATCAAGATAGGCCATGCACACGCAGGAATGGGAAAGGTATTTTACTTGCTTTGTATTACAATTGGAGTTCTGATAATAATCAAAAGTAAATTCTAACACAATTATCACCTACTGATTAAATGTATAACATTTAGATCTTGTCAAATTATTTTGAAAGAAAATGTATGATTGTTGAGTATAGTGACCATTGAAGGTGGGTCTATGTCCTGACCATCTTCAGTAGATGTGCATTCCCAGTTAAGTAAGTTAGAGAGAGAGGGGAGAGGGGGAGGGGTGGTATAGGGACTAGAAAGTGAAAGAGAAAATAATTGAAGATTGAATGGAGAGCAGGTAAAAGACAGAAAGAGAGATAGTGTTTTTAGAGATGTTTTCAAATAGATTGGATCTACTTTGGGGCTTGTTATTAGATAACTTCAACATGTTGGGCTCCCAGGATTATTATCAATAGATGGAAAGAGAGAGGGGAGAGACAGACAGAGAGAGAGAGAGAGAGAGAAAGAAAGAGAGAGAGAGATAAAGAAAGAAAGAGAGGGAGAGAGAGAGAGAAAGAGAGAGAGAGAGAGAGAGAGAGAGAGAGAGAGGGTGCAATGGAGGCTGAGGGGAGAAAGCAGAACAATAAGAACAAGAACAGGAATGAAGATAAAGAAATAAAGAGAAGAGAGATGATAATAATAATGATATTGGTTCTTGTATAGCGCATATCACATTTAAACGTTTCTATGTGCTTCCTAATTTGGTAAAATACTCCGGCTTTAGCCTAGCTGCTATTGCTGCATTCTAGCATTTCAAGGAATTAATTCCTGCCAGGTACCCATTTAACTCACCTAGGTTGAGTGTGGCACATGTAGATTAATATCTTACCAAAGGACATTAGTGCTGCGTCAGGACTTGAACTGCGGACGTTGTGATCCACAGTCAGGTGACATATCCACTTGACCACGACACTTCTAGGGAGGGAGAAGGCAAAAGAAAATGATTTTGAGAGAGGGAGAGAGAGAGAGAGAGAGAGAGAGAGATGGGCTCAGTCTTCCGCAGAGGGTGGTTTTGAGATCAGTAGAGGCTTCCTTTGGGTGACTCTGAAGGATTGATATTGTCACATCTCATTCCCATAAAGGATTAAGTGGGGTTTTGAAGATAACAAATATATAGATATATATGTTTGTTCTTAGTACAATAAAACAGACTTTTCACCTATATGGGTGTTCTTATAACGTGTATGAAGGAAGAAGCAGTACTTTAATAGGATGACATACATTTTTAGCACAGTCTTCCTATTTGTAAATTAGATTCCTGTAATTAGTAAAAATGATACTCTGAATTCAAATTTCATACGTCTATTTCTATTTCTATTATGTGAGGAAATTTTTGACATGTTTTAGCTGTACTCTGCCCTAATTTCCCAATCATTTTCAGCTCTAAAGACTACTCATGACTACACATGAAACCATAAATGTTGCAGCCACACTCTGTGCCTCATCTTACTGACTAAGAATAACTTCATGATACTGAGTTGTGAAACTCGAATGTCAAACTGTTACCATGGAAACTCCCCACAGTACCAAATCCATGATAAATTCTGGTCAGATCCAATTTCCTGGATGGGTTTGAAGCAGCTATTGAAAGTGACATAGTAACAGCAGCATCTTCAACTCAGGATGATCAGTTTGAACAAAATATCTGCAGAATGATCATTGTCCCATGATTATGGCCCACTTTCTTTGAGGGGCTTTCCTCAGACATCATACTTTAAAACATCGCAGAGACTCTGGAAGATATAAGTTGCGGTACAGCCAGCCAGTACCACCTCCTCCCATTTTGAACCCATTATTTTGAATCTGTTATTATTTAAAGTGTATAGGGGGGTGTTGTTGGGATTTATATGTTCAGAGTTGTGCCCCCCTCTCTCTCTTTCTTTACAAAATCTTTGATATAAAGAAAGCTACTTGAAACACGTCTAACTTTATATCTCTTTGGCCTTCTCAATCACAATGATGAGTAGAAGAAACAAGTAGACATAAGGAACATAGTTATCATTATAAGTGATATGTCATTGGCCTTGTAGAGAAAAATTCAATGGGTTTCAGAGAACGCCACTAAAACTTTCTCATAAGTAAGAGGTGGAGTTGGGAGTTATTGGGCTAAGGTTTTCTTTTAACCTCTTGATAGATAGATCCTTACACTGTTATATAATTCTCTAAGTGTCTGCACCTTGTGGTTATTATTATTATTGTCATTATTGTTTGAAATATAGCAATGTGTGAAAAACAGATATTTAACTTTGATGACATTAATGTTTATGAATTGTGTCTTATGATTTCCTTCTTGGCTTCAGGTTAAGGTAGATAATCATCAAGACTTCCAAGACATTGGCAGTGTCATCGCCATCACCAACTGTTACGCCACTACAGAATCATTCCTGGACGCCCAATATGACATCAGAGTGCAGAAAATTGGCAACACCTACAAGGCTTTCAAGTAAGTCTGGTCTGCTAATTAGATTGATTATCTTCTCTTCTGACTATTGTGTTTGTCATGTATTCATAAGAGGTGAACGTATAGTCACACGGGCATGTACCCCATCATTAAAGAGGGTGGGGGCCATGGAAGGATGCCCTTCCCACATCCCCCCTAATATGTAACCTTGTACATTTTTATTTCATCCATAGAATAAAAAAGATGCCACCCTCCCCTTCACAATGCCAGCACCTCCTCTATGATTTGATCAACCCACACTTTGCCAATGCTGCTATGAATTCCTTCTTAACTATCTCTATTTGGTATATGATATTATATCAACAATTATATTGCTTTCAATAAAACTATCTCTGGTTCTAGGCAGAAAAGGATTATTCTTATATATTTTTTTGTTTTTTTGAGGGGGGGGGGGAGAAATTATAGAAACTACACTTATTTCAGATCATCCCTTCAGCCATGTTGGGAAGTTACCCTAACTGGCAATCTGAACAGAATAAAATTATACAAAATATTATGAAAGGGTTTTAATAATATAGTGGATCATTTTGATGCGAGAAGCCAAATTCGAAACAGGAGAATGTGACAAATAGATGAGGTAGTGTTTCATCCCACCATCCATATTATACATTATGTGGTATTTGATATTATAAAATGGGTTCAAGAATGTAGCCAATGAGAAGCGTCAAATAAATCGGGTAAGCGTGCATTATTTTTACTATATGCACGGTACCATCTGCATGGGGTGCATTTTGGCGATAACAACCATAGATGAAGGTAGCTGGAGACATCTTATTATATGGCCTTGCTACGTAAGATTGTTGACCCATTTTATAGAACAAATAATACACGGGTTATCGCTCGTGAGGTTATGGCGATGCAGTGCTATTCGGGTATTCATAATGGCACAAAATACACTCGGCTATGCCTCATGAGTATCATTGCACCATAGTGAATACCCTCATGCGCTGCATCGACCATGACGCACTCACATTTGTGTTTTATTTGTATATCAATAACTTCATTTTAATTCAAGAAACCTATATAAATCATTGACACTAGCGCTAGTGGTTTTTTTAATGCAAATTTTCTATATAATTTGACATTTTCAACAAATGAAAATCAAATTAACAACAGAATATTGAAGATGCAAATTACACTCATTTTTTAAAGTAGAAACTAAAATTCAATAACCAAGAAAGGCATAGTGTTGCCTTTATCTTGTGTGTAATCAGCATTCTTGTCTTGTTAAAGAGATGTTAGTATTTCAAACACATTTGTTAAAAACTTTAGATCTGTAACCCCCTGGCTCCAATAGTTAAAAGAAAACTTTGCCCAAGGCCTCATTTGTAATTAAGCACACAATACGTGACACCCCCAGAATGCTTAAACAAGATGTGACAAGGTATTTAGATCGTTGATGAAAACAAATTTGAGGCAATTAGACTTTCCTGTGCATCGTTTAAAAACTCTTCTAATGGACATGATTTCTGGAAAAGCTAGGGATGGTTAACAAGATGTTCAGAATAAACAAGGTCATCCTTAGGTTAAGAATGTCCGATCTTGTAATTTTGGGATAAACCACTTTCCTGTTCTTCATACAAATACTTCCAAGGTTTCTGCTAATCCAAATTAAGGATTGTCCATCTTGCCAACAACACTTTCCTCTTTAGAAATGCATATTTTATTTTGGTATGACATCTTGCCACAATTTGTATCTATTGCAATCTGATCTTGATAACAATTTGTTAGGGGTTATCACTTAATCTTAGAAAAGAAGGTTTACATTTTGAGTAGGTGGTAAGTGTCGGGATGCATTTATCCAAAGCTAATTTGTAACAAATTGACTGTCTGATTGATATTATCCAGTTATGGCTTTATAATGGTTAGCCAGAGTTGGAGAAGAAAGTGCAAGATGTTTATGTTAAGCATTAAAGGAAGTTTTCCGATTCAATTTACCATCTCTGTGATAAATCTGTTGATTTTACAATGCTCTCATTTGAAGGAAATCATATCAAATCTTTACTTTCTACTTCCACTGTTCTTTTGGGATATAATAACACATTACACATCCTTCAGGTCAAAGTTTAATTGATTTATGGAAGGTGACATGTTTAAAGATAAACTCCAGTACTGGTAAAAAAATAAAAAATAATTCTCACATAATCAAACGAAACTTACACTGAATGTTCAAGATTACAAATAAATGACATGTGCCAAACAATTTTGGAAGAAAATGTATACTGGCTGAGTAATGAGCATAGAAAGGCAAGGAAATCAAGGTAGTACTCGCCCCGACACCATGTGTGTTGTCCCATATATAGCTTTCTATGTGAGTACTTGTTACTTTACCAAGACTTGGTCAAATTTATTATGATTTTGATGACTCCAGAACCTTGCAGTGCACACCAATACTTACATGCTACATGATCAACTGTTTCTGATCCTTTCCACACCTTTTCTTTCACAATGCAATCGCATTACCAGTACTAAAGTTTATCTTTAATAGTGCTACGTTGATATATATATATATATATGATGGAAAATGACTAGTGAATTAGTGATTTAGTGCCCATACTTCACCTGCATGATACTATATGTACGTATATCACATATAGCACAAACTACACGATTATCTTCCTGAAATCTCTCCACCCCTCTGCCAACCCCCAACCCCTCCCCCACCCCCTCCTCCCACCCATGCGGGGATAAGAGTACAGCCTGGATTGCGTGCTGGGAACAAATCGACGATAAGCAAACAGGAAAGAGAGTTAAGAGATTGACCAAATGAAGGATGACACTGTTTGTATCTACTCACTAAATTTGATTTGCTCTTGAGCTATGTGTCATCTGAATGTCCGAGGAAAAGGGTGATGATAACCTCACGGGACTGGTCTGCAAAAAGAGTTGTTATGTTCCTTTACTTCTCATTGGTTATGATGGCTCTTAACACCATACATATGTGGACATTTGAACCTCATTTAACCTATAGGTGATCTCACCTATATCTCATTTTGTAAAAGAATGCCATATCAATACAATCACAAAAAATGCTATGAAATCATGCTAAGGACAACTTTAGTACCTTAACTTATTGCCTATAGCTATTATAATTGGATATGTAACATTTCATTGTCATTTTCACACATTTCAATAGTGATGCACAAGGCGATCAGAATTGCATTAGGTTTATTTTGTGAAAGTTTTTGCGATCATATTCTTATCAAGTTGTTTTGATTGGTGATGTGAAGTAGAAGGAATAAGGATATAAGATTATGCAATGTTGTAATAATTAAGGACAGTGTGAAAACCTTTTGGATGTCAATGTCTAGAAATTGATTATTCAAAGACTGGTACATTTTGGGGTTATAATTTGATATATGTAAAGGTCCACTTTGGTCCAAGTCACAGACAGCAAATCATTGTTTATTCAGATTACCTCTGTAACAAACAGCATTATTTAGTTTAATGATTAGCAGTATATAATATATTAAAGCAAGATAAGGAATAAATTATGTTTTTTATAAATTGGAAAGTAAAAGTGTTTAATTCATTCTACAATTGAAATGGAACAAATATGACATGTGCTTTGGTTAGTCTGCTGCCAGTTATAGAATTGAACACATTGTAATTATGAAAATATAGCACATTTTTCGGAAAAGAAGAGAATATTATGACAATTTGTGTTCTTCTTTTAGCCATCAGAGACTTTTTGTTAAGGTAATTTAACCAAGACAGCTAACAAAATTAACAATAGGTGCTAATATGCTTAAATTTTTGCATTTTAACACGACTTCAAAGTCTCAATTCAGAATTTAAAGAAGTGCAATTTTTTTAATTGCTTTCATGCAAGAGGCCCCTTCTCTAAAATATATGTGAATGTCATTCAAGACAAGTCATGGGTCTTATTTGATAGACTAATTTCCTCTTTGAGTTTTCTCCCCAAGAAAGAGAGTGAGGGGGGCAGGAGGGGGGAATTTTTGGCAACCCTGGGCGGCCATTGATGCGGTTTAGTAGTAAATTACAGGAACTCTTGGAGGTTCGCGGTCATGATCAGAAGACCAAAATAAGAACGTAGGTTGCGTCTTATGAAAAGTCAGGTGGTTGCCTATCAGGGCACAAAATGAACAACGGTGTGACTCTGTGCTCTCGTAGCAGATGATAACAGTATATGAGCAAACAGTTTTTAATCATAGCAAAATTAACTGTTCTCTGTGCTGCATTTCTTGTTATGGTTGTTTTAATTTTTTTTTCTGAAGAATTGTTTGACCGTAATTATGTTTATGAGCCTATCTTGCAGGATAATATAAAATAAAATGTACATTAAATCATAATCTGAAGTTCTTCTTATAATTTTGTTTAAATCCCATGTTTAAGTAACTTATGAATTCTTGTCAAATGAGAGTAGGCTGTGAGATAATGTTGTTAAATGTTGTGTTTACACATTTCAAAAGGTAATGCATGACTCATGAGGCTACTGAAGTTACCTCAGGTTTATTTTTTGAAAGTTTTTGCAAGTGTCTTCAAAGTAGCTTGTCTTATAGTATCTCTGAACCAAGGTAGCTGTCAGTTACAAAGATTGAGTTAACTTGTTATTAATCTTCTGCAGGATTCATCATTTGATGAATTTTCAAATCCGCAAATTCCGCAAAAAAAGTTATGTTTTCTTCAATGAGCATAGCCCAATGAGAATGTTGCTAATAAACACTGGGGGGGAAAATTGATGGAACAAAAACTGACGACATCTATGACATCTACTGTTAAGGTTTTATGAGTCAAACTTTCTCTGAGAATAGCAGCTGTGATTAATTATGTACCCACCCCCCCCCCCTCCTTCTTCCACCCCTCCTCTCATCCCTGGGGTTTGTCCCAGGCCTGTTCCCCCAAAAACACAAGGATGAGCTAATGACATAGTGACATTGTGCTCTAGTCTAGAATCAGGACGTTTTTGTATCATCTTCTTCTAATAATTTAATGATTAGATAAGTGACATATATTTGTGG